CGTGTGGGCGAAGCGGCCGAGGGCGGCGTCCCCGGAGACCTTGCAGGGGTGACGGTGGCGAGGGACGTCGCGCACGGTGCCGGGCCCGACTCCGGAAACCGCGGGACACAGACCGGCCCCTGGGGAGCCGGCAGGCTCCGTGGGTAAAGCCTGCGCAGCCAAGGGGAGCCCGGGCCGGGGCGCCACGCTGGGAGCTCGCTGGGGCACTTGGGGAAGAGCTCCCCTCGAGGCCCCGGAGTCCACCCCAGACAGCGGGAGGGAGGGGAGTGGTTCCTGGCTTGTGCCTGAAGCCAGCATGCGTCCTGCCCCCAAACCCCAGGGGGGCCGCAGAGCCCTGCCAGCTGCAGGGGGCGGCCTCGCCTGCCTGCCTGAGGGACCCAGCCGGGCTCAGGGGGCCCGAGGGGCGGGGGGCGGGGGGCGAGAGGGTTCTCACTGGGGCTTTGCTTTTCTCTGCCGGAGTGCTTCTGCCCCTCCCGGCCCCAACTCAGGTCACCTCGAGGGAGGCCTCAGGGGTCGGCACCATTTCCAGGGTCCCAGTCCCAGCCCTGGGGGGACGCATGCTTGCTCAGGGTCACAGGCTCCGAGGTGACAGACTGGGACGGGGGTTGAACCACTCAGTGGGCCCCTCTAGAGGACGGAGGGTCAGACGGAGGGTCAGGCAGAGGCTCAGGGTGGTCCCAGGCACCCCACAGAGGCTGCTTCCCGGAATGGGGTGCAGCCTGCAGTCCTGGGGGACGCACCAGGGTGCGCAGGGGTGGGCTCTGAGGGGTGGAGGAGGGAGGGGTAGGGTGGGCCTTGGGCCTCAGGCACTAGGGACCCTCCGGGGCCCAAGGGGGGTGCCCGAGAACCCAGGGCCCGCGGTGGAGCCAGGGCTCCCCGAGTCAGGTCTCTCCAAGTCTGGAGGACCGGCCTGAGAAGTAAGTCTTCCCACGCTGCGTGGACAGGGTGGAGTGAGACCCAGCCCCGTCAGTGCCTCCAGGCACCTCCAGGAGTGTCCCTGGAGAGGCCCAGCTTGGGCGCATGTAGGGACCCCGGGGATCTCCGCGTTGGCGTGGGTGCTCGCGCGCCTCGGGGTGTGGTCCGGCCGACCTTCCAGCTCCATGGCTTTCTCTGCGCGCAGACCCAGGACACCCCCGCCAACCTGGAGCCGGGCCGCCCCTGCCAACCACCCTGCTCACCTCGCATCTCATTTGGCAGTTGCATTGTTCCGCCTGGCTGTCCCCTCAGCGCAAAAGTCCAAGCTGGGCAGACACAGGGTGACCCTGGAGCGCCCGGGGCTGATAGAGCTGGGGCGGATCAGGAGGGACCAAGGCCGGACTGGGGCGTGCCCGAGGGGCGGGGTTCCCGAGTTCCGACCTGGGCGCTGTCCGCGGTGCTGAGCGCCCACAGGGGCGCGCGGGGCCGGGGCGCCATGGGGAACCGCAGCGCCACGGATGCTGGCGAGCTGTTGGCGGGGCGCGGGCCTGGCGCCGACAGAGGTGCGGGGGCGCCGGCGGGGCTGGCGGGGCCGGGGGCGGCGGCAGCGCTGGTGGGGGGCGTGCTACTCATTGGCGCGGTGCTCGCGGGGAACTCGCTAGTGTGCGTGAGCGTGGCGGCCGAGCGCGCCCTGCAGACGCCCACCAACTACTTCGTCGTGAGCCTGGCGGCCGCGGACCTGCTCCTCGCCCTGCTCGTGCTGCCGCTGTTCGTGTACTCCGAGGTGGGCACCGCCGCGGCTGCGGGGGCGCGGCGCGACCCGGCCCCTGGCCTTCCCAGGAGCCCGCGCTGGGCGCTGCTCCTGGTGCCCCCCTGAGTCCACCCCCCTCCCATCTCAGACCCATGTGCCCGCCTTGCTGTCTGTCTGCTCTTCTTCTGTCCCTCCCTTCCACCCCTCCCTGTAGCATCTGCTACCCGAGAGGTGCCTCTGTCCTTCAAGCCAGGGACCCCGCAAACAGGAGACCTTGGCAGTCCAGCCACCTGCCCACCGCCCTGCGCTGGGTCGGCTCCCCAGGGCAGCCAGCGGGACAGGCAGGCAGACTCAGGCTCACCCCGGCTGGCTGCCCCGGGCACAGGGACACACACGGCTGCCCAGGCCCCAGCCACGCGTGACCAGGAACACGCACCAGCACAGACCTGCACTCACTCGCACAGAGGCAGCCCACAGTGGGGGGTGGGGGGCAGTGAAGGGCAGAGGGAGGGAAGGGAGGTGGGGTGGGGGGGCAGCAGAACTGAGGCGGGCGCGGCTGCGGGGTCCATGGCCCCTGAGGAGAACCAGGGCCAGGAGCCTCCACTCCAGACCAAGTCTGGCGCCCAGGTGGGTCCCCTGGGTGCTGGCTCGGTCTCCTCGGCGGTTGGGGCAGAGAAAAGCTGCTTAGCGCAGGGTCGGGGACGCCGTGCCCTGGACTGGGGGGGAGGGGAGGCTTGGTGTCTCCAACGTGGACGCAGTGGCTGAGTCGGGGGGGCGGGGCAGAGGCTGGCAGGGCAAGGGCATGCGTGACCTTCTGTCCCCTGCCCTGGAGCAGCGGGCGGACGTCACAGCGGCGGCCTTAAGCTCCTAATCGTCCCGAATCAGCGGGAGGAGATTTACCAGGGGGGCAGCTGTCCACTCCGGGCGCGGGTCACGGTGCTGAGACCCGTGTGCTTTTATCTCATTTCCCCTCTGGACGACGACGAGCGGACCGTCACCCCCCTCGCTTTCCAGGTGTGGGCCCAGAGGTGCAGCCGCCGGGCCAGAGTCCCGGGCGGGGATGGAGTCTGAGCAGAGGGGCTGGCTCTCCGCTGCGCTCTGGGGAGGAGCGGGGGTACCCTGCACCCCACATCACCAGAGATCAGGGTCCTCGGGCCACGGTGCCCCCACCGCCCCCAGGCCTTCCCAGCTCTGACAGGAGGAGGCCCGGGAGTGGCCGGTGGTGGGCTGCTGGCCTGGGCCCGGCTGGGCCAGCCAGGTGGCCGGGCTTGAGTCTCAAACCCCCTGTTGCTGTCCCGCCCGGTTCTGGTGGCCCAGGTCCAGGGTGGCGTGTGGCGGCTGAGCCCCGGCCTCTGCGACGCGCTCATGGCCATGGACGTCATGCTGTGCACCGCCTCCATCTTCAACCTGTGCGCCATCAGCGTGGACAGGTGGGCCGCGCAGCTCGGGGCCCGCCCATCCTCGCCCGGCCCCGCCCCCTGCTCCCGCCCCTTCCGCCCCAGGTACCACGGCCCTCACTGCGCTCCCCGCAGGTTCGTGGCCGTGGCCGTGCCCCTGAGCTACAACCGCCAGGGCCGGGGCGGGCGTCAGCTGCTGCTCATCGGCGCCACGTGGCTGCTGTCGGCAGCGGTGGCCGCGCCCGTGCTGTGCGGCCTCAACGACGCGCGCGGCCGCGACCCCGCCGTGTGCCGCCTGGAGGACCGGGACTACGTGGTCTACTCGTCCCTGTGCTCCTTCTTCCTGCCCTGCCCGCTCATGCTGCTGCTCTACTGGGCCACGTTCCGGGGCCTGCGGCGCTGGCAGGCCGCGCGCCGCACGAAACTGCGCTGCCGCGCGCCCCGCCGGCCCAGCGGCCCCGGCCCGCCGCCGCCCCCCACCGCCGGCCCGGCCCAGCCCCCGCCGCCGGCCCCAAGGAGGCGCGCCCAGATCCCCGGCCGGGAGCGCAAGGCCATGAGGGTCCTGCCCGTGGTGGTCGGTGGGTACCCACCCGCCCGCGGAGAGGAGGGCGGCAGCGCCGGGCCTGGGTGCCCGGGGCCGCGGCTCACGCCTCCCCCTCCCCCGCCACAGGGGCCTTCCTGGTCTGCTGGACGCCCTTCTTCGTGGTGCACATCACGCGGGCCCTGTGTCCCGCCTGCGCGGTGCCCCCGCGGCTGGTCAGCGCCGTCACCTGGCTGGGCTACCTTAACAGCGCCCTGAACCCGGTCATCTACACGGCCTTCAACGCCGAGTTCCGCGGCGTCTTCCGCAAGGCCCTGCGCCGCTGCTGCTGCTGCTGCCGCCGCTGAGCAGAGGCCCCACCCCGCCTCCCCTGGCGGCGGGTGATAGCCCCAACTATCAAACGGATTCCGTCCTAAATACCCACGCAGAAGGTTCCAAGGGCGTGCGGGTGGGTGGGGAAGGGGCCAAGGTGGGGGTGGCTCTGCCCGAGTGGAGCCCAGGCCCCTACCGACCCCCATGAGGTCAGCTAACCCCTTCCTTCCGAGGAAGTGCAGAGGACAGGCCCCACAAGCTGGCTCCTGGCTCAGGGCGACGCAGGAAGGGCACCTCGGCCCTGGGCCCCCCCACAGTGGCTCCCACCCTCCCCCGGAGCCCCCCTCCACTCCTGGGCACCAGCTGTGGGCCCCCGCCCCTGGGCTCCCTCCCCTCCCTCCCTGGGCTGCTGTCCCCTCTGCTGGTGGGAGTCAGTGGACACGTCGCCCTGCAGGCACTGAGGCTGGGGTCAGCGGTCAGGGCCTTCCCGGACCGAGGACCAGCGGAGGTGGCCCCCACCGGTCTCTGGAAAACACAGCTGAGCTGACCCCACGGAGGCAGACGCCCCTCCACCCCCCAGGACACACAGCCACCCTCAGGGGAGCGGCCGCCCAGGGCGCAGGGGGTGGGGGCGGGACAGGGCAGGGCCACCCCCCCGCACCCCCAGGAAGACCGGATTTCCAGATCGCCGGTTGGGTTCCCAGTTGGGGCACATGCCCAGGTCCTGGGCCAGGTCCCCAGTTGGGTCCAGAGTTCTCAGGTGTCACCTGAGTGAAGGGGACGAGGTCACACACAGGCTGTCCCTGCGTTGCGGCCACAAGGAGCCAGTCACTTCCAGGACTGCATGAGCCCTCGGAGGCCTGAGGGACCTGCATGCCGGGGGGGCGGGGGGCAGGCAGCCCACCCTGCAGCTCCTGCCTCTGTTCCGGCTCCTTGGGTGGCAGATGCAGGGAAGACACCGCAGGTGCCCAGCTCCCCGGGGTCCCACACGACCTGGGCCGGGGCTCCCTTGGGAGCAGCAGAGCTGGTGGGGGGGCCACTCGCCGCCTGTGCCTGGGCAGCTGGGGCCAGGACTGCAGCCGGGTGGGGCAGGGACACCGACTTTATTGAGACACATGTATGTACACCCGTGTTACAAACACAACACACCCGTGGGTAAGGCCGGACCCTCGTGATCCAAGGATAAAAGAGCACCGTGCAGCGGCCCGTCCTCGGGGCGCCCCTCCCCCGGGCCTCGGGCCTCGGGCCTCGGGCAGCAGCGGCTCTGCAGGGCACAGGCCGCTTCCAGTCTGTCCACAACTTGGCCAGCAAGTTTCCTCACATCCTCAGTGGCCCCCGCAGCCCCCGGGGGTCCGGGTCCGGCGACGGCCCCGCCACGCTGCAGCGAGGGGGCCCGGCGGGCCCTCACACGGCGACCTTCTCTATCACGCTCTCGGCGACGTGGACCTCGTCCCCCTGCACCGTGACAGCCGCCGCCTGGCCGCACACGTGCTGGTGGTCCTTCCAGTCCTGCCGGGAAGGACACAGCCGTGTGTGCGGCCGGGAGCTGCCCGCTCCGCAGCAGCGAGGAGTGTCCACCCCAGGCCACGGCCCGCCCGCCCGCTCAGGCCTCGCTGTCCTGTGCCTGTGGGACCGGTTCACAGGGAGGCGGCCAGGAGGGGCCGTGAAGCACGGGACCCTGAGAGGCGTCCAGGCCCTGGGGCCTCTCAGGGACTGCGAGGCACGTGGGGGGAGCAGGCTGCACCTGGTGTCGCTGCCCACGGGGCCATGTGTAATTCTGGAACATGGAGAACGCGGCGGGGGCTGGGCCGGGGCCTGTTTCCAGGCAGGACAGGGTGCTGAGCACCACGGCGGCCCCCTCAGGCGGGACCAGGGCTCTCAGGAGGCCGGACAGCCAGGGACACGGGCACAGGGGGAGGTGAGGGTGTGGCCCAGAGTGGGGGTGGGGGGAGCAGGCGCCCCTGGAGGCACAGAGACAACTGCGTGCAGCTGCACGAGGACTCCCGGACGGGGCAGCGGGCTGGTGAGCTCCAGGACTGCAGGGCTGTGCCCTTCCCGGGTCCCGCTCAGCAGGGAGAGGCCTGAGGGCCCCCAGCTGCCTCCCCCGCTGTGGAAAGTCCCAAACCTCTGAGCCAGGCGGCCCTCCAGCTCCCAGACCCTCCTGTTCACCTCCTCACTGACAAAGGCCAGAAACACGCAGGTGTCCAATCACTGACTCTCGTGACTGTGAGGAGGCCTCCAGGGCTGGGGGTGCCGACCCCAAGGTCAAAGGGCACAGCGAGCAGGGTACCCCCCCCACCACCACCACGCGGACCGGACCGGGCGCAGGCCCGGGGGGGGGGGGCCTACCTTGCGCTGGCAGAAGGTGGAGCAGTAGTTCACTTTGTGGCAGCCGGTGCACTCGCTCAGCGCCTCGCGGCCGCAGTTGGCACAGGACTGCTGCAAGGACAGGGCCGTCAGCACGGCGCGGGGCGACAGGGCGCCACCAGGACCCGGCACGTGTGCCGCCCGCCCGCACACGCCCCTCACCTCCAGAAGCGCTGGCCTCGTTCCCACCACGCGCACAGAACCGAGCCTGGGGACCGAATTCCCAAAGCCGTCGGGGGCGCGTGGGCCCGAGCGGCCGGGAGGACACACCCGCACTGCGGTCAGCACGGGCCAGGCAGCCCACACCCCGTCCCCAACCCCGACTCCGAGCCCTCCGCCCACCGGTTCACGGAAATGTGCATTTCGTTTCCCCACACGCTGTCACGGGAGCCTTTCTCTGCGGTCGACAGGCGCGCTGTCCCAGGCAGTCCCCGGTGGCACGGCTTTGGTGACATGTGCAGATGGCAGCCTCGCCATCGACTCCAGGGGCGGGGACGGCGCGGGCACGGCCACAGCACGCGGCGTTCGTGAGGCCCCTGTCCCGTCCCGTCCCGCCGCGCCGGCCCTGAACCTGCGCCCCGCACCCAGCCGGCCGCTCCGGGCTTCCGTTCCGGCCGCAGCTCCCTTCTCCGCGCAACGCTGTGCTCGCCACGAGCAGCGTTTTCCACGAGTGACACTTTCCACTCAGAACACCATGTAGTGTGTGCTCCCTTCAGAAAACGGGCACGTCCCACGAAACCCGAGGGTCCGCTTCCTCCGCCCACGGCGGGACTTCCGGGGACGAAACGCCCCAGGAGAAACAAGATCCGGCCGAGGGCGGAGGGCGGAGGGCGGTCTGCGCACGGGCGCCGGTCGGGGGCGGTGCAGCGAGGTCCCGGCCCTCCTGACCCCGCGGCCGCCCCGCCGCTGTGGGAGGAGCCTCGGCGCAGCTTCCCCCTCGGCTATCGGGGTTTGCCCCTGCAACCCCAAAGCTTTCCAGCGCCGCAGGCAAGCAGCACAAACGTGTCCTCTTGTCTCCGGTGGCGCGAGAGCGGAAAGTCACTCTCACGCTGGCTGACGCCCGGGGTGCGCAGCAGAAACCCCTGAGCACGTGCGTGGGAAACACCGGGACCTCATGCACCCTTGCCACCACGCCGCGCCCGTGTCCCACGTCACTGCTGTCCTTGTGCTCCTGGGACACGGCGGGTGTCTCCTCCCTCAGACGCCGCTCAGGTCAGAGCCCCCAGTCCCAGGACGCCGCTGGAGAGGGGCCTCCAAGTTGTCCGTTGTCACCCGACAGCCCTTCACTCCACAAGAACCGAGTGTCCAGGTGCCGCAGAGCCCAGACCTGCCTCTGGAGCTGGAGAGGACGCGCGGCGCTGGGTGTGGCCAGTGCTCGCCTGCACGCACGGTCCGCGGGGACGCCCAAGGTGCCCCATGCCGTGGCGGGTGGACGGCGAGTCCACCTGTCCCCACGTTTGTGCTGGGCCGCATCGCGGGGATGAGGACGGCCACGTCTCGTTGGCCTCCTCTGGCTGACATGCTCAGCTTTTGATAATTATTTTTTATTGAGTTTATTGGGGTGACACTGGTCAATGAGACACGCAGGCTTCAGGGGCGCAGTTCTGAGACGCCATCTGCATGTTGTGCCGTGTGCCCGCCACCCCGAGGCCGGTCTCCTCGTGCCGTCATCGTCATCCCCGCCTCTCCCCCTTGCCCGGGCCTGCAGCACACCGCGTCTGTGTTTGCGGACAGTGCAGGAAGGTCACGGCGGGTCCGGAGCGGGGAGGAGGCGGCGGCAAGGCCGCGTCACAGGCTCAGGCGCCGCAGCGGGGCCAGGCGGCCTCCCCACCGGGATTTCAGGGTCAAGGGGGCAAGGGGTCTCCCAACACGTTTCTTTCTGAGAAACACATCAAATTACAAATGAATCGCCAAGCCCGGCCTTCCGCGAGGGGACCTCCAACGCTGCCACACCCGCGTCCCTGGCTGAGCAGCACCCTTCTGCCCTGGCGGCCTGCCACCGTCACAGGACGCAGCTCCGGACCCCCTGGGAAGGGAGGCGGCTGGGCTGGGGCTGTTCCCGTGAGAAGGACAGCAGCTGACGGGGCCGCTGGCTCAGCAGGGCCGCACCTGGGGCTGGGCCACATTGCTGCGCTCCACCGGCTGCCCCCCGGGCCTGCTGGAGGGGGCGGGGCGCCTCCGTGCAAACCTGAACCGCCAGCGAGAAGTCAAGGGCCAGGGCAGGGGAATGAGGAACTGACAGTTGGGAACGTTTCCCTTTCGTTTCCTCAGCGGCGAGGAGTTCAGTTCAGATTTCGGGGCAGCTGGCCCTGTGTGCCCCAGGGGGAGGAACTCAGCCCTACCCGCACAGTCCCAGCTGCCTGCGTGGGGCAGAGGCCGGGACCCCGCAGTTCAGGGGCCGTCCTGAGTAAGGACCACGGGCCTGTTCCCAGCGAGCTTCCCCGTGCACCCTGAGTCGGAAGACACACCGGGGGGCCTTCCTCTTCACTCCCAAACGCGCCAGGATGGCTGTGGGGAGACCTGCGTCCCCGACCTGAAGGAGCTTGTGGACGGACAGACGGACAAACGGACAGCCAGGCAGCTGGCCCGTGTCCCCCGCGCACCTGGGCCGAGGGGCACGAGGGAACCGCCCCACAGGGGTCTACACCTCATGTCCCCTCCCCGCCCTTTAAACGACCCCCAAATCTCTGGACTATGGGGCAACTTACAGAGGCCACCAACGCGTGTTCGCCTGCACAGCCCCGGCCGTGTGGCAGGCGGTTGGCGGTGTTCACGACGCAGTGGACACCCTCAACGGCTGTGTCCCACTGACTCTTTCACCCAAGTCACAGCGCGCACTGGGTCTGGGAGGTCCTGCCCCGAGGGTCCACCCCCAGCTGCGGGCACCTGAGGAGACGCAAGTCAAGCCTTGGGACACCCCCGCAGCCCCCAGTCGGCGGAGCCACGGTGCAGGTGGAGGCAGGTGGCATGGGGACCCGGGACGCCCGCAGGCCCTGCGGCTGGGGACGCCCCCTGTGCAGCCGCTCGGAGAGCAGGCTGGCAGCACCCCGAGGTGTTAGACAGGCGCCCGGTCACCGCATAACCCACAGGTCCCGACCTGCCTGAGAGACGCGGCGACGTCTTCAGAGCAGCCAGAAAGCAGGGACTGCCCGAGCGGGCATCACCGGGGAACCCGGTGCGTCCACACGGCGGGCCATTCGTTACACAGCCTCCCGGCGGCGCACGGCTCCGGCTCCGGCTGCTGCAAGGAGGGGCCGGCTCTCCAGTGCCGAGGGAGGCGTCCGGGATCTGCACACCCGCTGTCTGTCGGTGCCTCGGGGTGACGGAGCATTCCGGAAGCAGACCGCATGTCGGATGCACAAGTTTGAGTTTACTGAAAGCTACGGCATCACACACTTGAAAGGGGTGAATTTTATGGTGTGTAAACCACACTCCCATGAAGACAACGCGTCCGTGAGACTTCGTCTTGCGTGTCAGGGGTTTGTCTGAAGTGTGTGATCAGAGCCCTGGCCCGCCGGGCTCAGTGGGCTGAGCATCGTCCCACAGAGCGGAGGGTCGCCAGTTCGGCTCCTGGTCAGGGCACACGCCCGGGCTGTGGGCCAGGTCCCTGGTTGGGGGGCACTCAAGAGGCAAACACACGTGGATGCTTCTCTCCCTCCCTTCCCAGCTCTCTAAAAGTAAATAAAAAACATCTTTAAAGAAACCAGTACACCAAGGACATAGAAATTAAATTGGAAACAGGCAGCTGCACCACAGCACGACCCCACATCTGCCCGTGTGCACAGGTCACGCTCACATGGTGAGCGAGCTCAGGCTGCCGCCCTGGCCGTGCCAGAGCCGCCGCGCCAGGCGCACCCGCCCAGATGACCCCTTAGAGACACAGGAAGCGGCCTGGAGGCTGGGAGCCTGGAACGCCAGTGGGGGCTCGGCGGCAGAAAGGGGCGCAGCACAGGAGATGTGGTGTGAGGGCTGCCGTCCCGGGGTCTCCCTGAACCCCAGGAAAGCCACACGCCCCAGACGGAGAGTCAGACGGAGGGGCCGGCACACGCCGCCCCCAAGAGGTGGAGGGGGGACCAGCCAGGAGTCTACCCGCTTTCCAGAACCCGTCCGACACTCTTGGGGGCGCAAGATCACTGAACCCAACAGGGTCCCCATGAGACGGCACCGCGTCCGACCCCCTGGGAACGACGGACGAGTGAGGGAAGGAAGGCGCCCGCAGCCGGGCGGAGACAGGCCGCAGGGACGGACCCCTCGTGAGGGGGCCGAGGGCTGGGCCTGCCGAGGGCTTCCTGGGGACATTCCGTGAACCGGGGGGGACAGAGGCCCCCCAGGGGGCAGCCGGGCACACGGCAGAGACGAGCACGCAGAAGAGCCGCGCGGACGCCTGGGCGGGGTCTCCCTGAGGACCCAGGCCCCAGTGTCTCTCCCAGTGCGTGGGGGCCGTGGGGGCCGGCGGGAGGTGTCTCCGGGGTCCCGAGCACCGGCTGGGGTCCTGCGGGTGTCGGGGCCGTGGCTGGCATTTTCCCTCCAAGCACTTGCCCCTAGCTGTCCTGTGTCACTAGCTGGCCGAAAGGCAGTTCCTCAGGAGGAGGCAGAGCCCATCCGGGCCACGGGCGTCTGCGTGGGGCTGGCAGTCTCACTTCTCCACGGCTAACTCAGGGGCCGGCGCTGCCATCAGTTCAGTTTCGTTTCTCCGTCGGCAGAGCCCGGCAGCTGCTGCCATCCTCGGGTTATTTATAAACCTTGGCTTCACGGCGGTCGGCCCTGAAGAGCGGACAGGCTGGCAGCGGTCTGCCGGCGGTGGGCGCCCGCCCACAGGGCGAGGACTTGCGTCAAGACTCGGTTCCTGGCCTGGAGACACCCCCGCCCCCCCCCCCCGCCCCGCACAGCACGGAGGCGGAGGCCAAGGCCTGCTCCGAGGGCGCACGGTCGGGCCCACGCTGTCCGAGTGAACGGCGCTCTCTCTCGGTGGTTCTTACGCTTGTTCCTTTCCCGTGAAACTCAGCACTGAGGAGGTGTTAGTTTGGGATTATATATATGTATTTTAAAGATTTTGTTTGTTTTAGAGAGAGGGGAAGGGAGGGAGAGAGGAAGAGAAACATCAATGGGTGGTTGCCTCTCTCGCGCCCCCTACTGGGGACCTGGCCCACAACTCAGGCCTGTGCCCTGACTGGGAATTAAACCTGCGACCCTTTGGTTTGCAGGCCAGCACTCAGTCCACTGAGCCAGGCCAGCCAGGGCTAGAATATAGTTAAGTATTTTAAGTGATCTCTTTAGAGATTGAAGCACCATTTTTCTTCCTTGGAAACAAATGAAGCACTACGGCTAGGAGGGTGCTGGCTTATCGGGGAGTCACCTGATAAGGTACAGAAGTGTCTAACCACCCCATTGTACACCTGAGACTAAGGTAATGTTGTATGTCAACTGTAATTGAAAAATGGAAAAGTTTAAAAAGAAAACAGTTAATCACATATTAAGAAATCATTTACAAAATTAAGAACCTTAAAAGTTCTTCTTTCCTCTGATCTATGAGAAGCAAAAAGAAGTGAAAAATTATCCTGCACTGATTCGGCAGAAGACAATCTGAGCCCCGGCGGGGAAGCTCAGGTGGTCGGGGCATCGTCCTAACCCACCAAGGTGGCAGTTTCGACCCCAGTCAGGGCCGCACAAGAATCAGCCAAAAGCCTTGGCTGGTGTGGTTCAGTGGATTGAGTGCTGGCCTTCAGACCAGAGGGTCGCAGTTTCAATTCCCGGTCAGGGCGCATGCCCGGGTTGAGGGCTGGATCCCCAGTAGGGGGCGCTTGAGAGGCGACCACCTACTGATGTTTCTCTCCCTCTATCTCCCTCTCTTCCCCTGTCTAAAAATAGTCTTTAAAAGAAAATCAGCCAACAAATGCATCAGTAAGTGTAACAACAAGTCGACGTCTCTAGCTCTAAAATCAATCAATAAATTTTAGAAAAGATTTTTAGAAAAGGAAATCACTTTGACTTCTGCCTACGAACCCAAAGGCACGCAGGCTGCGAGTGAGGACGCTCAGCTGCATGCGCAGTGCCGCCCGATTCAGAGTGCTTCCCGAGGAGCCAGCAGCCCCGCCCGCCCGTCGAGCCCCGCCCCCGTCGAGCCCCGCCCCCGTCGAGCCCCGCCGGACCCGCCCCACGACTCACAGCGTCTCCCACGCTGGACGTGGAATGCAGTGGCACCACACAGCTCGCCACGCCGTTCCGACCCTGACCAGTCCCCGGCGTGGTGGCGCTGGCCACACCCGCCCCCCAGTCACTGGGACCCCGAGGTGCCGCCCGCGCGAACGTTACCTCCTTCCGCTCGGTGTCCGCCTGCACCCGGGCCTGGGCCGCGGCGGCCTCTCGGTAGGAGCTGGCCTGCTTGGCCTGTTCAAACAGCGTCTTCAGCTGCTGGGCTGTGCTGAGCAAGGAGTTGACCATCTCTTCTAGGTACAGCCAGCTCCGCGGCTCCGACATCTCCAGGCCGTTGACCACCGAGGGGGAGACGGCTTTGGTGGGGTTGGAGGGCGGGACCGCCAGGGCCGGCAGGGAGGTCAGCACTGGAACGGCGTGGAGCGGGCGGGACACACCCGCGTTAGCACGGCCCCTGGCGCCCCGGCGCCCCCCGTCAGGCGCTCCCACCCAGCACCGGCAGTGGGGTGGGGTGGTGGGCGGCCACGAACGCCTCGGGCCTGCTCCTAAGGTGCGCCCGACGCAGGGACGCTAGACACAGGCCTTGGGCGAGAGGTGCTCGGGCAGCGTGGCTGCGAGTCCCGCAGGGCCAGCCGGGAGGACAGCGGACTGGTGAGGATGCGGCTCCGGAACAGTATCTCACAAACGGAGCCGCACAGGTCGGGCCCCGAGCGCGCACCGACGGCGGCTGGACGCCGGCGGCGGGCACGTGACCGCGCCCGTGTGCCTTAGAGCGCCTCGCCCGGGACGCTCGCTACCCTGGACTGACGTCACCTCCGCCGTGCGGGAGGTAAGTGGCCGGAGGGAGCCCAGGAGCCTGCGGGCTGGACTCCGCAGAAGCAGCAGCCTGGGCCCGCCGCCCCCGGTTTCTCAGCCCGAGGGGCAGTTGCACAGACCAAAGGAGGGCGTGCGGGCGCCGCGGATTCTGTGGTTTGGGCGGGAAGCGGGGGCTCAACACGCAGCCTGGGCGCAGGGGCCCCCCAGCAGCAGCGCAGGCCGCCCGGTGGGGGGTGGGGGGCGTGCCTTCCAGGGAAAAACCCTGGTCTGTGGCCAGAGCCTGCGGCCTGGGGTCAACACGCCCCACGGCCGGTTCAAGCCAGAGGGAGGTCCCTGGACACAGCGCTCGCTGGAGCCGGCGCGAGCCGGGCCAGACCTGGGCTCCCGCACACCGGCCCGCTGAGAGGGCCAGGGCTCCAGCGGAGCCGAAGACCCGACCCAACCTCCCACCTCTCACTGTGCCAGGAGGCAGGGAAGTGCTCGAGGACAACAGGCCAGATCTGGGACAGTGTGGGACAAAACTGTGACAGAAACAGGTCACGGCCCGGAGAATGGAACGGGAGACAGCAAGGCCGGAGGGAGGGGCAGCCCTGGGGCGCCCACGCTGACCCCACGGGAGCCGGCTCCCACCCAGCCCCAGCCCGGCCCGGCCCGCTGCACCCGCCGGCCGGCCCTGGGCCCTGGTGGCGCGCTGGGGTGAGGGGCAGAAGCAGCAGCCCTGAGGGGGGGAGGTGTAAATGGGTCGGCGAGAATGGAACAAGCAAGTGACACCGTGGTCACGAGGTCATGAAAGGGCAGCCGGTGCACCGCGCGGGGAGGCCCCGCTGGGGGTGCGGCGGCGGCGGCGGAAGCGTGCGTGGGGCCTGGAAGGAAACATCGAGGTCAGCGCTGGCTCCTCCCGGGGACGGGCCGGCGGCCTTCCTGTCGGCCTTCCCGGGTCGCATGGTCCCCACACCCCCCACGGGGACCGGGTGCAGCCGTGTGCTCACGGGCCGTGCTGACACGCCGTGGCGGGCACGGCCCCAGTCCACAGCGTCCACAGAGAAAATCAAACGCCCTCTTTCGCCCACAAACGCCTTCGAGGGGAGCAACGCCAGGGACAACCGCCCGCGTGCGCAAGCAGCTCCTCCGAACTGACCTATTTTGGGGTGAGCGGTCGGCAGCGCAGCTTCCGGAAAGGGCGCGACCTGGCAGCTGTCCTGGAAGCCGGGGTAGTGGGGCTCGGCGTGGCCGACCCTGCACGGCGGCTGCACGCCTGCTTCCTGCACTGTTGGCGAGAGCGGGGTGGGCGGCCCGGTGACCCCGCTGCTGGCGGCCCCCCGGCCACGCTGTCCCGGGGGGCCCCGCCATGGGGGGGGGCCTTCCCGAGATGTGCGGGTCTGAGTCGGGCGAGTGGCCGAGTCTGGGGCGTGCTGGGGGGAACACGGCACAGTTGTTTCCACGGTCGGCCCCCCGTGCGGCGACCGGAGCACGCACACCGCACGCCGGGTGCCTCATCCACACCGGGCGGTGCCAGGGAGCTTTTCAGATCCCGGGCGGCACGGCTCCTCGACCCCACCCCCACCCGCCCCCTGCCCCGTCGAGACCCTCTGGGAGCCAGACCGCCCACCAGGCCCCGCTGGGCAGGGGCGAGGCCGGGGCTCAGACAACTCGCCTGTGGCTCCCGCAAAGACGTCGCCCTGCGCCGGACTCTCCGAGATGACCGCGGTGGCTTCCACAGTGGACGCCCGGTCGAAGGTCAGTGCGCCGGAGGTAGTGATCTGTCCTGAGGAGGTCACAGTAACTGGAAGACCAGAAGCGCTTCTGACCACGTGGCCGGGGCCTCGGAAGGGCCGCAGGCGCCCGGGGCCCCCGGGTGTGGGCGCCGCACACGCTGCCGTCCCGTCTGCAAGGACTCGCAAGAGACCGGGGACCCTGGCGCCTCGGGGGGGACGGGGGTGGGGGGAGCAGGGGACACTGACAGGCCCGCCAGCCCTGCAGGACCTGTTTTAAACGGGTGGGGACCCACAGGGACACCGAGGGGCGAGGGCAAGCGCTGCCATGGGCGCTCACAGGTGGTGGCGGCGGTGGCCGGGAGCAGCGTGACGTTCTTGGCGGCCTCCTTCTTCCCCGGGGCCGCGGGCAGCTCGTTCTCCTTCTTGCGCCGTTTGTAGGGGACGAAGAGCCGGACGGGGCCGCTCTGGGGGGAGCACAGAGACACGGGGCCGCTGGGTGTGGGCGCGGCCCTCGCGCCGTGCCCGGGCTCGGGGGCCCGAGTCCGGTTGGCCGAGAGGCCAGCAGGGGGCAGGCTGCTCTCGAGCTCCCCCCTTTAGGCCCCACCTTCCTCAAAGTGACAGAGAAGGTGCTTCCAGAAAGAACGTGTGGGTGACGGTGCTGGAACACCGGAAAGAGCGTCGTCGGCGTATCGGGCGTCTGGGAATCACCAGAAGACAGAAAACACTCGGGGACCGAGTGCAGGGAGAGGAGAAACCGCCGCCCAGAAGGAGCAGCAGGCGCCTGTGCCCCGCAGGAAGGAGGAGGCGCTGAGGCCGCTAACCGAGCGAGAAGACCCCGTGGACCAGGGGAGGCAGCAGACAGCCCCTGGGGAGGAGGCCCCAGATCCCCAGGGACGACCGTCCGGCCGAGTGTCCCCAAGCCCCAGAAAGGACCACACCCTTCCGTGGCCCCCAGCAGGAAGTCTGCTTTCAGTTCTAGAATTTCCATCTGATTCCCCTTTGCAATTTCCACATCTTTACTGACACTCCTCACCTGATGAGATACTGTCATTAAAGAAGTATCTGGCCCTGGCTGGTGTGGCTCAGTGGATTGAGCACCAGCCTGCGAACTAAAGGGTCACCAGTTCGATTCCCAGTCAGGGCACACGCCTGGGTGGCGGGCCAGGTCCCCAGTAGGGGGCGCTCGAGAGGCAACCACACAGTGATGTTTCTCTCCCTCTCTTTCTCCCTCTCTTCCCTTCTCCCTAAAAATAAATAAATAAAAACCTTTTTTAAAAAGTGTTTGTTTCAGGGTCAACAGATGACATCATAGGAGCCTTCCGTTTCCCAGGACATCTCCACCAGCATCCCCTGAACAACCACCCAGGGGCCACCCACGTGCCCCAGCCGGGGTCCAGCCACCAGAGCAATGTGTGGAAAGAGAACTTTTTTTATCCTCCCCCAGGACCTGCAGGTTGATTTCAGAGAGGGGGAGGGAGGGAGAGAAACATCGATCAGTTGCCTCTCACACGTGCCCTGGCGCGGGGGACGGAAGCCCCCCAACCCAGAATGCGCCCTGACTGGGACTCGAACCCTCAAGCTCTGGGTCTGCAGGAGGCACGTCAACCCCCGAGCCACACGGCCGGAACGAACCTGAGTTTGTGTGGGAAGCTGGTGACCACCTCCCCCCGCCTCGGGGGCCCGAAGGGGAACCCGGGAGCCTCGAGCACAACGCCCGGGCGGGCCGAGAGGTGCTGAGGGCCCCGCCGGGCACGTGACCTCCGGCCACTCACCAAGGTCATGTCATCGCAGCAGGCGGCGCAGGTGCAGGAGGCGGCGTGAGGGTTCAGGATCCCGTCCTGGGCGAGAAGAAGGCAGCGCCGCGTTGGCCCTGACCGTGGCCCGCTCGGAAGGACGAGTCCTGCACCTCCCAGACCCTTCCATCCTGTGCTCCCTCCCCTGACGCCTCGGCTGGGGCGGGACCGGCCCCTCTCCTCCCAGGAGCCCCTCGGCACCCTCCCTAACTGCCCCCGGGGGCTGAGCTGCAGAGACCACCCAGAAGCCTCCTCTCGGGAGGAGGCTGATGCAGAGGGAGGCCCCGGAAACTCGGGGCAACTGCCCCCCTGGCCCAGACCTCCGGCCTCACCCCCCCCCCCCACCCCCGCCACCGCGCTGGCAACGCCACCGTCATCCTATGTGCGTCCGGAGGCTGCGAAACACAGAGGCCAAGCGACCTGCCCAGGGGACTGGCGCTCAGTGGGAGCCCACCCGGGGGCCCCGCAGCGGCCCCCACGCCCACCCCGGCCACAGAGGGCACCGGCGCGGCACCTGGATGAGGCACTGCAGCGGCCTGCCGGCGTAGCGGATGCTCCGCTTCCAGTCCTTGCTGCTGGCCCTCCCCGCCATGGCTTCGAACTCCGTGGGGCTGTACCAGTTTTCCCCCTGCTTGATGCACCGGCCCCGGCCTCCTGGGACGGCAAGGAGGGTGGTCCGTCCCCGCTTCCCGTCCTGGCCCGTGGTGCCTCACCTGCCCCCGCCGCGGACCCCCGCAGGCTGCAGGCTGACCCCCGCAGGCAGGCGGGGTCTGCAGCGCCGCCCACGGCCCGCACGCCGCGCTCACCCCAGCCACCTGCGTCCAGGCCCCGCTCCCTGTTTGCCCCCAGTGCCACCCAGCCCTCCCCAGGGTGCCCGAGGCTCCGCCTGTGCCCTTCGCCGGCTCCCAGGGCCCCGGTGCACGGGGGGGCGGTGGGCAGCGGGCAGCGGGGTCCCTACCGGAGCCCAGCCGGCTCTTGTACAGGGTGCCGCTGACGTTGCGGCAGCGCACGGGCAGCTCGCTGTCGTAGGCCGACGGGTCCCAGTTGTACCTGCTGCCCGCCTTCTCTTGGCCGGGGGCCAGGGGCGCCGGCGGGGACTGGGGGCCTGGCAAAGACAGCGTGGGACAGTGGCGGACCCTGAGTGCACCGGGAGACGCCCGAAAGTGCGTGACCCCAGCCCGTCTCCCATGGCGGCGCTCAGGCGCCCCAGCACGCCCCTTTCCGCTCCGGGGTGCTGTCTCGGCCCCGAAACCCCACCCCCTCCCTTCACACCTGCCGCTGCGAACCCGCCACAGAAACGTGCCGGCCGGACTCCGGGACACGGCCCCCGGGGCACGGCTCACCGGGGCAGGGGGCGGGCACCCCTACCTGGGGTGAGCGGAGCGGCGGGCCCCTTCAGCCCCGCGGTCTCCACGATGCTCCCGTCCGTGTGCACCACGATCAGCGTGGCCTTCTCGGCGTTCAGGCTGTCTCCCAGCTGCAGGGCGGTCCTGCCGGACTGGAGGGGAGAGCGTCCCGCCCGTCATGCCGGCTCTGCGGCCGCGGGCGGGTCACTGGGCACAGTGGGCGGGCTCCTGCCAACCAGGGGCTGCCTGCCACACCCCCCGGCCTGCTCCCAAGACGTCGCTGAGACCGGAGCACAGAGCCACCCCCGGGATGGGACAGTGCCAGGTGTGTGGCCCTGAGCAAGCCGAAAGGGCAAAACTAACGCGGGCCATGAGGGCCGCCTCACGTCTGCAGACGCTGCCCCCCATTTGGGGGCGGCGCCAGTGGGCTGTCACAACGAGGAGGGACCCCACCCCACCCGTGAGTGTGCACGCCGGCAGGGCCTGCACTCGGGGACCGGGGACCGGGTCAGGGCGCAGGTGGGCATCCCTGGGGCTCCTGCCCGAACCACAGAGCGTCTCTGTCTCTGCAGCAGCAGGCGGGGCCCCTCTCTCGTCCTTTTCCACCACAGTTTCCGGCCCGTCCTCGCAGCCACAGACGGTGCCCCACGCAGGAGGCCCGGCTCGGCTGCCCTGGCTCTCTGACGTGTGGGGACACCTGCTGCCGGGAGGAGGGCCCGGCCGTCAGCCTGCGGCGCGCCAGGGCCCCGTGGAAACGGGCCGGGCTTCTCGCACCCGCACGGGGCCTCCCTGCGTCCTCTGCCCCGAGCAGGGGCTCTGCTCCTGGCCCACCCAACGCCAGTGACTCGGCCAGCAGGCGCCTGGAGTCCCGAGAGTGGGACCAAGGCCCCAAGCACCCCGACCGTCGCGGCAAAGGCCCCAGGAAACTCCCCTTCTGGAGACCGCCCAGCCCTGGCCCCGGCCACCTGGACACCAGGCTGTGCTCCGAGTCACAGAAGGCCTCGGCCGTGAGAGAGGAACGGGCAGTGGGACAGTGACCGGTGGGCTCTGACTCTGGGCACAAACGCCACTGGGAAGGAAGGGGACTCGGCTGCGAGGTGAAGGGGTGGGCGGTCCCTGGTGCGGAGCAGGCCGGGTCTGGTGGGGGCGGGGCCTCCAAACCTCCCTTGACCAAGAGAGTGGCAGGGCGGGGTCCCCCGGAAGGATGCTCCCACCCCAAGGGCCTTGAGCGTCCTCTGGCCAGGAGGGCAGAAGCGCCGTCCCCTGACCCCAGGGCTCCGACGGGTGCCTCCGCCTGCCCACACTTCCAGGGCGAGGTGCCCCCCAGCTCTGACGGCCCTGCCGGGGCGAGGCTGAGTGCAGAGGCCGGGCCGGCGGAGAAGCTGGCAGTGCCGCTTACCAGGACGTGTCCCGACAGCGAGGCGGCGTTGGCCACCGACGTGGTGAAGACGTTGTCCGCCGAGGCGCCCACGTTCGCCACCGTCACCGTGGTCACTTCTGCAACACGGAGGCCCTGCTCAGCGCGCCCTCGGGGCCCACCCCAGGAGGGAGTCTGCACCCCTGGCCCCTCACACAGGGTCTCACCGGCCCTGCCGGACCACTGTCTGGCCAGCCCCGTCCCGCCAGGGAAGAGCCTCCCACCGCAACGAGAGGCCCCCAAGGGCCCCTCCCCGCACCCACTGGGCCTGTCCAGGGTCCCCAGGCTGTGCCAGCCGCCCCCGGCTTCTGGCCCCTTTTAGGAGGAAACCAGCACGTCCTGCAACAGCTGCCAGCCAGAGAGGCGCCCCCGCCTGCTCCCACCTCCCGCCCCGCCCTGGGGGCCCCACCCCTTCCCCACACCTCCCCGCAGCCACCAGGTGTCCCTGAGCCTCTGCGGCGTCAGTCCTCATGCAGGTGCGCTGCACCCACCTGCCCCGAGGGTTCCCTGGCGCCACTCAGCCAGGGTCTCCCCCAGGCCTTCCCTCGCCTGTGCTCCGCCCCTCCCAACGACCACGGCCTTCTGCTCGTGCGCCACCCTGAAGAGCTCCCCGGAGGAGGACAGCGCCTCCTGGGGCCACACGGCACCCCCTGACCCCGTGCCCAGGGCCTCTCCAGCACGCAGGAGGCTCGCAACATCACCGCCTCAACGATGTCCGCACATCCCACTGGCCTGCACTCGCCACCGGCCCGGACACCCCCTCACCGTCCAGTCCACCGCCCAGCCGCCTGCAGCTCTCCCGCAAGCCGAGGCGGCCCCGTCTGAAGGCCACACAGCGGCCCTCTGCCAGACACGCCAGGAACACACACGGGGACCACACATGCCAAGGCGGCGGCCGCCAAGGGCTCCCGAGCCCCTGCAGCAAGCAGCAGAGTGTGTTACCGCCTCAGCGCACGCACGACACAACCGTCAAGTTTTGCAGAAAAAACCAGCGTCCATACGCCTTTCTGACGTCACGACAGGTGTCACGTTTCCGCGCTTGGAAAAAACGTGTGCGGAAAGGATAAAAGCCTGAAAAAGAGCTTCACGGTCCAGAGTCCCAACGTGACTCCAGAGTCCGGCGACGAGGACAGAACCCTTTCCCTGCTTCTCCGAGGACCCCAAACCAACCACAGGCAGAGCACAGGCGCCCGGCCCTGCCCGGCCCCCCACGGCGCTAAATGAGCGCCTGCGTGAGTGTGCAGCAGACCCACCCTCGAGCACACACGAGGGGGGCCACACACAGGGCACCAGGAGGCTGCTGTCCAACTCGGAGGCCTGCGAAGCCACGGGGGACAGCGCCTCAGCTGTGGCACCACCACACACTGCTCTCCAAGGGCTCGGGCACTCCGCTCCCAGTCGTAAGGACACCCCTGGGAGAGCGTCCACCCCCTCTGGGACACGGCCTGGAGCGACCTCTGAAAGGCGCTGTGGGCCGCTCTCTGAGGCTCCATGGGTCACAGCCCGTGAGAAGCAAAACGTTCTGTGGGTCAGTAAACGGAACGTGGGTCAGCACCCGGGCCTACTGCCTTCCCCTGGGGGGAGGACAGCTGGATGGAAAGGCCAGCAGGGGAAGGGACAAGCCCTGAAGCAGAAGGGGACAGGCGGGGGACAGGCAGGCAGCTGACCTCCGGCGTCACTGCCCCAGAAAGCAGCTGGCTTTCCCAGGCTGGGTCGCTGCTGTCTCGCTACCCAACCCTCAGGCCACACCGGAACTGGCCCCTAGAAGTCAGGACGACCAGACATGCCCACCCTCCAGCAACTCCAGGACGGAATCCATGTCTGACCCCATCCCCCACCCCACTGTGTCACATGCACCCAGGACAGACGTACAAGACAGGCAGGGCAAGTGGCAGGCGCTGGGAAGGTTCCAGAAAAAGCGCAGAGTGCTGAACAGGAGAAGGGGAGCTGTCACAAGGAAAAGGGACTGAGGAAGCAGGTGTGCGTGCACAGCAGGCGGCGTGCAGGAACGACAGGGCACACGTGGTGGGTGCGGCAGGTTCTCCGGGAGGGTGGGCGGGCTGGTCCTGGGGCATGTACAGGGTAGGTGTGTGGTGCAGGGGGTGTGTACGGGCAGGTGTGAGCGAAGCAAGTGCAGCGGGTGTGTGCAGGGGAGCTGTGGGTTGGTCACTCTAGGTGCGTGCAGGGCAGGTGCAGGGGGTTCAGGTGCGGGTGTGGGAGGTCGTTGAGCTGTGTGCAGGGGGTGTGCGCGGGACAGGTATGCGCGGGGCAGGTGTGGCCTGGTCTCGTAGAGCAGGTGCGTGGCAGGTGCGCGCGGGTCAGGAGCGGGAGGGCGCGGGCCCGCGGCACTTGCCTGCAAAGGCGGCGGCCGCAGCAGCCTCGTCGGGGCCGGGAAGGGCCTCGGTGCCCATGTCCATGTGCCTGGGCTCTGCGGCCATCACCGCCACGGCTGTCACCCGCCGCGTCTCGCGCTCCGCCTCCGAGTCACCGTCCTCCTCCGAGTCCTCGTCCCTGCTGAGCACCGACTCCTCGGCCTCACTCCCCGCCGCGGCCGCGGCCGCCGCCGCCACAGCGGCCGCGGCCGCCACCGCCGCTGCCTCGGCCAGGCCCAGCTGCTTGGCGGCGGAGTCCGAGTCCTCCATCCGGACTCCGCCGAGCCCGCCCGAAGGCGCTGGCCGGGGCCGCCCGAAGGCCGGGATGGAGCCCGAAGCGCGCCGCCCGAGGAAGGCCGCCCGAACCGAGCCGAGCCCAGCCGAGCCGAGGCCGCCCGAAGCCGCGCGCCGAGCCGAGCCGAGCCGAGGCCGTCCGAGAAGAGGCCGAACCGGCACGAAGTGGCCCAGTCGAGCCAAGCCGACGGCCGGGAGTCCGGAACCGAGGAGGCCCGAAGAGGCCCGAAGTACGGAGCCGAGGCTGTCCGAACTGGTACGAGGCCGCACGAGCGTTTCCGAGCGGCTCGGCGCTGGCCTTCCTTGGCGCCTAGGAGGCCGTGGCCGCCGTCGTCCCCGGCCCACAAGGTGGCCGACCGTGGGCCCGAAGCTCGCCGAACACCGACACGGCGCGGCCTAGGCTGGGGAGCCTCGCGCTGCAGGCTCCGCCCGCCCCGCCGCGAGCGAGAGCCGAGCTCTTCCGAGCGGAGCCGAGCTCTTCCGAGCGGAGCCGAACGCGCCCGAGCCCGGGTCCTCCCAGCCTCGGCGCCCCTCCCCCTCCCTTCCGAAAGCGCCCGAGCGCAGCCGGATTGGCTAATCGGGTCTCCGCCGCGGCTCGGAGTCAGCTCTGAATACGCGGCGCCGTCGGGCCCCTTCGGGGTCGAAGGCGAAAATGGCCGAAGAGACGCGAGCGGCGCGGGGCCGAGAGGCTGCCGGGATCGCGGCGGACTGGGGGGCGGGGCCGGACTGGGGGGCGGGGCCGGACTGGGGGCGGGGCGAAGATGGCGGCAGGCCGGCGAGGTGAGCGGCGCGGCTGTCCCTCGGCCGGGAGCCTTCGGGTCTGGGATCTGGGGGTCGCGTGCCCGAGCGCAGGTCATCCGGGGAGGGGTGGGTTCTCGCTGGAGCTGGACGGGCCGCCGGCCTGGCAGTTCGCCGTGGCTGCTCAGTGGGGAGCCCTGCTCGTCGGTCTTCCCGCGCCGCTCGGGGGCCCGGAGGCCGTCCCTCTTCGTGCCGGTGGCGTGGACAGACCGCGCTTGGCGGCCCTACCCCGTGCTGTGGGCCACGGGGTGCCAGTGCAGGCGTGAGAACCGGGCACGTGTGCGGGCCGCAGGGACGGAGCCTGTTCTCAGGGCGGCTCTGCTTGGCGACCCTGCAGGGCCCGGGGAGAAGGGCCGCTTAGCGTCCGTCCGGGCAGCAGTGGGCTTCCCTTCTTCCTCGCGACCCAAGGAGGCCGAGGCCGGGGTCGGTCGCGTCCACGGTCCCGAGACCGGTGGAGCGTCTCGGGGGGCTGCCGGCCTCACCACCCGCCGCTTCTCTTGCAGGGAGTGCCCCCTCCACGGCCGTATCCTCCTGCTGCTGCTGCTGCTCCCGGTTCGCGGAGGCCCCAGACTCGGCCTCCCGCTCTCGGCGGCCCGGAACCCCGACCCCCTTTTCTGCCAGCTCTGGGTGCAGGCCTACTTGCCAACGGGGGCGGTGGAGTCGGTGTCGCTTCCTAGCGGAGCGCGCTGGCCCCGACCCCTCCTGCTTGCCCAGCGCCCGGGCTCTCGGTGGGGTCGCCAGGGCCCAGGAGGGGGAGCCGCTCTCCTGCAGTGTGCATAGGCCCCCATGCGGCGTGAACAAGGGCAGAATGTGCAGAGCTCAGGAAAGTGGGTGGTGGGTATTTAACTGCTCCGCAAAAGGAGAGAAGTGTATTTTACTTGAAAAAAAAAAAAAAAACAAACAACGGAATCCCCTTTCCCCCTTTATTTTGTCACCAGGGCCACAGTCAGGGTGCTAAGGCTGTCCTGCCTGCAGTGGCTGAGGGTTTCATGCCTAGTACCCTGCCTCTGGGCCAGGGTGTCCCTGTGAAGAGAGGTCCTGGCCCCCACCCCCCTCTGACACCAGGGGGCATATCCATGGGTGCCCAACAGGCCGGACTCCGGGGCCCCCTGTGGGCGCCTAAGCAGCACCCACATGTTGGCTGAGGTCCAGGTGGAGCGGCTCCTCTTGTTGAGCCTGGGGTGGGCACGTGGGGCAGTGCGGCTGCTGGGCTGAGTCCTTAACAGCACCCCAGCTCTCCTCGGTGCCCCTGCAGATGCTGCTCTGCCTGGGTGGGACGTGCTCCGCCCTGCATTTCCTGGCCACGCTCCTGATGATCGCGTACAAAAGTGAGTTGGGCGCGTGGGTGGGCGGAGCTGTCACTGTTGCTGCTGCTGCTGCTGCTGTAACCAGAGCCCCACCGTGTTGCCCGCGTCTGCAGGCCAGGTGTTCAGTTACCCTCAGGATCACCTGGCCCTCGACCTGGCCCTGCTCTTGCTGATGGGGACCCTGGAAGCACCCCGGATATACCTTGGTGAGTTGGCCGACGGTGAACACTGTACCTGCTGGGGTCCTCTGAGTGGGCCCCATTGTGCACGTGGCTCTGGGAGACAGTGGGTTTAAGTGCTCCGCGAGTTGCCTGCAGGCCTCGCCTTCCGGCCTCATTAAGCATTAAGTAGTTTGTTGAGAAGCTTCGTTCAGGAGGCCGTAGCACGCAGCATGCTGGGAGAGAGGTTTCCTGTCAGAAGCACGTAGCCACTGGGCAACAGCACTGTCCTCGCAGCCAAAGCACTCACCTCCCGGGCTGCCCTCCCCTCAGCCTGGGGGTGGGTCTGCCCCGTGCCCACCAGGCCCGCAGGCCAGGAGGTGTGGGAGGCTCTGCTCAGAAGCACAGCGTGCCCTTTGCCCTCTGCCCACCCCCATCTCCCCTCAGGGGGACAGGGCTTCCAGCCCCGTCTGTCCAGGGTCCTGGCCCGTCCTGGCCAGCCGCACACACGCAGCCAGCCACGAGACCACTGACATCTCAGCCCTCCTGCTGAGCGCCCTCGGCCTCAGTGTCCCCGTCACAGACTGAGGCTGTGCCAGGGCGGGCGGTGAGCAGCAGCCGCACTGCCCAGCGTCTGATGCCCCTCTGCCCCTGCCAGGCGGCCCAGGCACAGGCGGTCAGCTCTCGGCGTCCCGGGTGGGCGTGTTCCACAACTGACCCATCTGTGGCACACGTGTTGAATTTCCAGACTGGCGCCGAGAGGAAAATATTTTTGGGAATTTTGAACAGAGTCCCCTCGGCCCCCTTGGAATCCGGGGAGGAGTCAGAGCGCACTTGGGTGGGTTTCGGGAGCCAGACCTCCATCCCCACCCCCACAGCTGACCCAGAGACCTGGGCGAGGTCAGAGCTGCCCTGGTCTGCCCCTCCTTCCTGGAGCTACACCCTCGTGGGTTTGCCTTCAGACACTGAGTGGGGGCAGGGGGCAGTCTCTCACTGGACATCCTGAGGCCGTAGGCCTGCGTGCTGGCCCGGGGCCTGCAGCCTCGCCCTCCTGGACACGTGCCGCCGCTGGGTCCCAAGCGGCGCCCACAGCCAGCTCTCACTGTGTCTGTTCTCTTCTCCAGGCACCAAGGGCAACCTGACGGAGGCCGAGGGGCCACTGGCCGCCAGCCTGGCACTCACAGGGGCCAGCGCCCTGCTGTCGGTCTACTTCCTGCTCTGGCAGACCCTGGTGCTGTGGGCAGACTCGGTCCTCAGTGCCACACTCCTGGCCATCCACTGCCTGGAGGCCGTCCTGGAGGTGGTGGCCATCGCCGCCCTTCCTGGGTTAGACAGGTGACGTGCAGCCCCCGGGATGCCTCAGATGGGAGCCCTCACGGGGATCCCCGATGTCCCCGCCCCATGGCACAGAGGACAGGGCCCTTCCTCGACGATCAGCCTTGTGGATGCGGCTGGGTGGTTTGTGAGTCTCGTCAGGGCCAGGACCGGGACAGAACAAAGTGTGGGGCCAGGGCCAGGGGGTGGCCCCGAGCCAGCAGGGGGCCAGTGGGCTTCGCCCTGTCACCTCCCAGGAGGAGCCGCTTCCCGTGGCGTCCCCAGCTGGCTCCCTCGAAGGTGTGTCCCGATGCCGGCCAGCCGGCCAGGACCCCCTGTGGCACAGCATCCCGTGGGGTCTCTGCATCCCTGAGTGTTTACATGTCCCCACGGCAGGAAACGGCTGTGTGGGTGGGGCAGGGGTTGGGGGTCTTCGGCCGCTCGGACAGACGGCTCCAAACGAAAACTCGCAGCGGGGCTGGTCGGCTCCAGGGCGGCGCTCCTCGCAGCAGCCCCAGCCCCAGCCCCGCCCCCGGGGGCCCACCGGTGGACGCCTGTGAGGCTGTGGGGTGGCTCTCCTTGCCCTGGGGCTGGTGACCGCCGCTCGTCAGAACCTCGGTCTGTCTGTACTCGGCGCGGCGAGAATCCGGGTCTCCCGAGAGCTGGTCCTTCCTCGTAACTCCCCTCCGTCTGCTCCCAGTCCGCGTGTCCTGTTCGGAGTGACGTGTTCAAACGGACTCCTGGGTTCTCTGGGCCGTAGTTCTACAATAAAGAAGTGTCTGTACCTCGCTGAGTTTTTCTTCATTAAGGCCGCCTGCCTCCTGCAGGTCTTGTGTCCCCTCGGCACGGGGGCCAGCGTGCGGGGCAGGCCGCACCGCCCAGCCGGCCACCCAGAGCGGTTTCCCCAGAGGCGGAGGGGCCGGGCTCTCCCTCCTCCGGGCTCTCCTGGGCCTTGAGGGGGGCTGGCCTCAGCGAGGGGCAGGGGCAACACCGAGTCTTGCGCTTGGCTGGGGTGAGCGGGGCCTCTGACCCGGGTCCCGAGTGTCTGCAGCCCTGGCAGAGGGGCGCCTGCTTCCCCGCCTCCCCTGGTGCTGCCGGGGCGACGTGGAGCCGCGCATCCTGCCACGGGGGCCTGGCCCGTGGGCCGGGAGACCCCAGACCCAAGGATCTGGGCCGTGCCCTCGATACACCCCTCCCTTTGGCCCCAGGGTCTCAGGAGGACGTCCCCGTGACTCCAGGCGGCCTACACCCCGCTGGCACTCCAGGCCCCCCGAGGCCTCCTTGCCGGCCAGGGCTCCTCCCCTGAGGACACTGCTCAGCAGGCGCTCCCTGCCCAGCACACGCGCCCACACGGGCTCGGCCCCAGGAAGGGTGAAGGCAGGCGCGGGCCTTCCCTCCCGTTGCTCGGCAGCAGGGAGACAACCAGGAAGCCAGGACTCGGCCCGGCCCGGCCCCAGGACGAAGGCCACTTCCTGCCCCCTTCCATGGGCCCCCCTGTGAGGCCTTGGAGACCCCTCCTTGGGGTCCTGGCGCCAGGGAGGTGCAGGGGGCGTGCCTCCCAGGGGCTCCCGGGAAGGGCTCCGTGCCAGCCAATGCCTCACCCTTCTGGGACTCCCTTTCCTGTGCCTCCACCCTAAGGAGAAATAGCCGGGGCCTTGGGGTCCTACATGTAGCCTGTGGGGCCCATCTCTACCTGGGCCTGCCCTCCGACCCTTCTCCCCTGGGGGAGCGGGGGCCCCTGAGAGTCCGTTCAAAAGGAGGGCGGCCCTGCGCGGAGCACTCCACGGGTTCCCCCTGACCCCAGGCATCCCCCCCCTTCCTTCAGACACCCCCAGCCCTCAGGGGTGCCCAGGCTGGGCTCGGGGTCACGGAGGAGTGGCTTCAGGGGCTCTTGGGTGGTGAAGACGGGAGCCCCCGCCCTGAGAAACTCCCAGACTGCAGCCGGGCCCAGCGACCCCCCCCCCCGCCCGAGCCTAGAGGGGTGGCTGGAGGAGGGACTCTGCCCCGGAGCCTGGGGCCGAAGTGGGCCCCTTCTGGGCACGCGGGGCTGGAGTCCGACCTCCCCTGGCACCCCGAGCCACCCCCGATGGCGATGGGGCCCGGGGCCCGGCTCAGCGGCTCCAGGAAGGCCTCAGAACCTCAGGGCGCGCGTCCCGGCGCAGAAGGGGCTCCGGGGCCTGTCCGTACGTCCCTGGGTGCCAGGCTCCAGGGCTGGGGTCCGAGCCCTGGCCACAGGAGGGTGGCGGGAACGCCCCGCTGGGGGGAGCCCCGTGTGGGGAGCCCCGTGCAGGCGGGTCTGGAGCCGCAGGCGGCGCTCGGACGTCGCCGCCCCGCCCCCGCGCCGCGTCGCCCAGGTTCTAACCTGCCGCTCAGGTTCCTCCTGGCGGCTCCGCCCCCGTCCAGCCAGGCCCAGCCCCGCTGCGCGTCCTCCTGCCCGTGGACCTGGCCGCCGACAGACAAGCGGACAGACGTGCGGCCGTGGGGACCCGGGGCCAAGAGTAGCAGGTGAGCGCCCCGCGGGGTCACGGCCTGGATGGGGCGGCTTTGGCGAGGGAGACGCGGGAGGCGCGCGCACCGACGGCGGGCGGCCCGGGCCTCAGCCTCCCCAGGAGGCGGCGCAACGCGGGGCTCAGCCCGGGTCTGCCGGCCGGGTCTGCCGGCCGGGCCGCGGCAGGAGGCATTGGTTGGGGGTCGAGGGGCTGCGCCGGGCTTGTGGCCAGGAGCCCGTCCCGCTGCGGCCCTGCCGGCCCCGGCCGTCCCGGGCGGCGCTGGGGCGCGGGGACATTTTTAAGCCAGGGCACTGAGTCAGCCGGCCGGCCCCATGCCAGCCCTAGGGCTCGGTGCGGGGAGCCCGGTCCTCCGTCGAAGGGGCGGTGGGCGGGGTTCTTCCGGTTCTGGAACACCCCACCACCCGGTCCCGGACTGGCCTCCACCGGGCGAACACTGTTGAGATTGGCCGGGGCTCCCTGTGGGTCAGACGGCAGGAGACACTTCCTGGGTGTGTGTGGGGGGATCCAGGGCCAGGGGACGTCCGGCTAGGGTCAGACTCCCGGTCAGGGTCAGGGTGTGGGAGTTTCAGGGAGGAGGCGGCTGGGGGCGGGGCAGAGCAGGGCGGGGGCCAGGCAGGGGCCTGGGCACCCCGTCCCTGGCTCTCAGTCAGGCCCCCTCCCTGGGCCAGGCTGGCGGGGGCAGCCCCTGCGCCTGGGGCTGTGCCCGGTGGCAGCGCAGGGGGCTAGGCAGTCCCTGCCCCCACCCCAGGCCTAGAGGCAGGGGCAGGGCCCAGCTGGTGGCACCTCCCCTGCCTGACCTGTGTACACAACACTCTCACACTCTCACACACACTCACACACACACTCTCACACACACACACTCACACACACTCACACACTCTCACACACACTCACACACACACTCTCACACTCACACTCTCACACACACTCACACACTCACATTCACACACACTCTCACACACTCTCACACACTCACATTCACACACACTCTCACACTCACACACACTCACACACACACACACACACACACACACACTACCCGAGCCCTGCCTGGGCCTCTCCTGGTCCCTGCCTAGTGCCGTGCCCGGATGGCTCAGAGCCCCTGCCGGCCCTGCCGCTCCAGCCTGCCGCTCCTGCCACCCCCCCCCCGGGCGCCCTGGGCACCTGCGGCCCCCAGCCCTCCTTCCCAGGCGTGGCCCTCCCCACCCAGGGCAGGCCCCTTCCTCACCCGCGGCTCCCGGACCTGGGCACCCCTGAGCCTCAGAGGGTCTCCCCCTCTCAGAGCCCCGCCTGGCTCTCCCGGGCCTTCGGCTGACTCCTCCCCGAGGTCACTGGGCTGCAGGCTGGAGTTTGAACCCAGGGCCTGTCCTTCCGCCCTCTCTGCCCTGCTGGGGCCCCCGCCCCCCCCCCACTCTGTGACCGTGTGCCGCTCGCTCCCGGAAAGTGACTGCCGTAAACAGAAGTGCGGCCTGGGCTGGCCCCTGGGGCCGCACGGCACCCCCGCCCCTGCCCCCCAAGGAAGCCCCACTCCCGCCACGGGACCCCACGTGCGCCCCCCCGAGGCAGATGCAGTGCCCGCGCCCACCGCCCTGCTGCCCCGGGAGCTGAAGGCCACGGGGGCCCAGGCTGGGCTCCCGAGGGGAGGGGCCCGTCCTGGCCTGGGCCCGCCTGTGTGCCCGCAGGCCTGCGCCTCACCCAGGTGCGAGCCCCTGCACACACGTGCCCAGCGCCCTTGGCTCAGCCCGCCAGGAATCCCATTAAGCAAATATTCGGGCTCACCCACTGAGGTCACGAGCGTTCCAGGCATTCTTGGGCGACAGGCAGAGGAATCCGGCCAGGCCCCTCCCCCGCCCCTCCCCACAGAGGCAGGTGGGAGGCAGTGGCCCCAGGCCCCCAGGGAGGCCTTCCTGCAGGAAGGACCTCGTCAGACCAGAACACCCTGGGCCGCTCCCTGCCCTGGACACCAGCACCCTGGTGTGTGGCCACACCTCTGGCAGACCCCAGACACAGAGACCGCTCTCCGGTGACCTTTGACGGGAGGACGATGTGGGCCCAGAGATCCCCACGGGGCACAGACCCCCGGGAACCAGGCTCTGCCCGTGCCCCAGGGAGCCCCCTCTTGACTTTCCCCAGGGTCCCCTGGTCTGGCCCCGTCCTGTCTCAGGGCTCTCACAGTGCCATTCCCTCTGCTGAAAGGTGCTCCCACCTCCCCCCCCCTTCAAGGCCCCCGGGACCCTTTGCAGAGTCCCCCCCAGACAGCCTCTAGGGGCCCACCCTCGGGTGTCCGTGTGCAGGACCAAGGGTCTGGGGTGTGGCAGGGCTGTGGTGACGGCCTGCCGGGACATGGGGCGGAGACAGGTGGTCCCGGGACTCTGGACAGGCGGTCAGGGCTCCAGCCCCAGGGCCTGGGGAGCAGTAGGGCGGGGACCAGCCCCGGGAGGTGTCAGCGCTGCTGTCCGTCCACTCAGGTGTGAGCCAGGCACGAGGCCCTGGACTCAGGCCACACTGAGGTCCGCCCTCCGCCGCCACTGAGGACGCCATGAGCCAGTCAGGGTCTCTGAGCTGCTGCCCGGGCCCTGCCAAGTGAGTCCCCACCCGCCCGGCTCGCCCCTCGCTCTCAACCACCGGCCGCGGCCCGGGAGGTGCAGCTGGGCCCCGCCCTTACCGGTGCCTTCCCCGCAGCGGCAGCCTGGGCCGGTCTGACACCATGGCCAAGATGAGTGCCAAGGACCTGTTTGGTGAGTGCGGTCGTAGGAGGGAGGGTTTGCCACCCCCTGCCCCCGTTCCGTAGTGCTCTGCTGGGCCCCACCAAGGGGTGATGCGGGGTGGCCCCGGGCACCCAGAGGCGGCTCAGGGACCCTGGCCCTCCAGGCCCCAGCAGCCCTCCCCCGTGGCGGTAAGGGGAGAGGCCTTTACTAATAATTCAGGGCCATCAATACTGATTTGGCCGAGCTCCACACTGCAACCGGATCGGACGGCACTGAGTGCCAAGTGTCTGCTCCGGGGGTGGGGAGGCCCCCCCGGCCAGCCCCTCCCCCCAGGTGCACCCCAGCCCTGCCCCAGAGGCACCAGCTCATTCATGCCCGTGGACAGGGCGCCTAGTCTGGAGGGCCAGGAGCCCCACAGAGGGCAGGGAGGTGTTAGCTGGCGGGGAGGGTGGGGAAGGCCCTGGCCCTCCCCCTCCCCCGGGGAAGGTGGGGCGGCCCCCTGCACCCCCACAGCCACAGACCCTGCTCACAGGTGCCACCACCTGTCTGAGTGGTCGTCCTCAGGACGGGGGTGGGGGAGGGTCCGCCTCCTGCCGGGACCTTGAGCCCCTCCTGGTGGCCACAGGGGCCCGCAGAGCAGTACCCCTCGTGTCCACACCGCCGCCCCCCCTGTGGCCCAGCCCGGGGGTCCCAGTCACGTGGACCAGGGGCCCTGGGGCCTGCCGCCTGGGGTGGATGGTGACTGGCATGTCCCCGTTCAGAACAGAGGAAGAAGTACTCCAACTCCAACGTCATCATGCACGAGACCTCCCAGTACCACGTCCAGGTGAGGCTGCGCCCCGGGGCACCCCGTCCTGCCCAGCGCCCCCCCTCAGTACCCCAGGGCCCCCCGGGTGGGGGACACCGAGGCCCCGGGAGAGGTGGGCCGTCCAGGTTCTGACCCCACAGCCGGCGACCAGAGCCAGGGCTGCCCTGCGCCCCACCTGGGCTCAGCCACAGTGGGGGCTCCCTCCAGCTCTGGGGGCTCACGACTGTGGTCTGGGGGTACAGGGTCGGTGCCAGGCAGACAAGGTGCTGGTGGCCGGCACAGCCCAGGGGTGTCCGGTGTCCGCGCCCTGGGTCCTGTCTGGCCGCCCTTGGGGGGCAGGCCCAGCGGGAGGGAGGGGCGAGCCCGAGGGGAAGATGGAGCCGGGCCGCCCTGCGCTAGGCAGCTGCAGGGAAGGCCAGGGGCGCGGGGGGAGCCTGGTCGGCTGCTCGGGGGACGGACCAGCCGCCAGTGCAGGGGTTTCCTCCGAGGTCAGTTGGAACTCGCTCTCACACCGTGGGAACCCGGCTCTTTAAGTGGCCTTCCTGCTGCGGGCAGCCAGCCACGTCCCCCGTTCCTGGTCCCTGTCCAGCCTGCAGGACAGCGGGGCTGGGGATGGCCGAGGGGAGAGAGAGGCGGGGTCCCCTGGCCCGGGAGGTTGGGGGACCTGGACCAGGAAGGCAAGTGCTTCCCTCCCCGCCCGCAGAGGTCAGGCAAGTCACTGCTTCCTGAGCCTCGGTTTCCTCATCCATACAATGGGTCCACAGAGACGCCGGGACTTCCTTGGGCTCTTGCACTGGGCTGTGTCGGGTGACACGCCCTCCCCGGCCGCCTGGGCAGGCTGGTGACTACTGCTGGCTCAGTGTCCAAGGTCAGGGCATGGACAGTGGGTGGGTCAGGTCTGTCCCTGTCCTCGGCGGCTGTGCCACATCTCTGGGGGAGGGGGACTTTGCCCTCCTTGGTGAGGAGCCGCCTGTGCCACCAGGCCTCCGGGCCCTGCTCCTGGACTTTGGTCCGGACTGGCCTGTGGAAGGACCCCCCAGGGGGCGCTCCTCTGCCCTCCCTGCAGCCAGCGAGGCCGGGGCACCGGCAGGGTTGGCCAGCTCCTCCCAGATGAGGAAACTGAGGCACAGAGAGAGGGTGAGAGGTGGAGGCCGGGGCCGGGTCAGACCCACCCTGGCAATGAGGGTTTGGGTTTTTTTTTCCTAAATTAGCGTCAGAAAAATTGATGTGGAGGACGGAAGGTGTGCAGTTTGGTGACAGACCATGTGGTCACCACCAGCAACGGAGCCGTGCCGGTCTCCGTCCCCCCAGACGGTCTCCTGCCGACCCTGCGGGGCCCCCGGCCCCACCTCGGGCAGCATGCTGCTCTGCCCCCAGTCACCCCGCTTTGTCCAAGTGTCCCCCACAAACAGAATCACGCGGCTTGTAGCTGCCCTTGTCCTGCTCTGTGAACTCACTTGAAGGAAACAAGAAGGGGGGGGCAAGGCTCCTCCCGGCGCTGGGCTGCAGGGGCGCTTTGGCGGCACCCCCCCCCCCCCTGCTGTGCCCGGGCTCGGGTCCTGGCAGCTGGCAGCGTCCCGCCCGCACCCCGGGCGTGCGGACCAGCCGGACCGGTTGCCAGTGTGGCCTGCGGATTCGCGAGCGTGGCTGTCTTGGGCTGAACGGAAATGTTTAGTTTTGGCAACACCCGGCGTATCCGTTGTGTTTCAGTCGTCGTGGTCTGGTTGTCGGCACTGCCTGGCCCGTGGCGCCCGAGGTGCCTTCCTGCTGTGGAGGTGTTCTCCCCCCGCTGTGGCGCCGGGTGCTTTTGCCGGACACGGGTGGGCTGGGTCCAGGCGAGCGGACTCCTGGACTCTCCGGGGGACGTTGTTTTACCCATCGCGGCTCTAGCGGTCTTGGGGCCGGCCGGTGCGAGTTCCCCAAGGGTGTTCCTGCCTGTCCTCGGTTCTGCGGACGTGCGTGTGTGTACACTGCGGAGTCAAAGTGGCTAGTTCTGCCCCCAGAAAAGCCTGCCAGGGTCCCAACTGGCACTCGGCCAGCCCTGTGGGCCGACCTGGGCGGCGGCAACCCCTTCGCTGCGGGGGGTGTCTTCCCAGGGGACCCCCCCTCCCGGCACTGACCAGGGCACCTCCAGTGCCTCTCAGGTCCTGGCTGGCCCTTTCCACTGCGGAGCTCTTGCGTGTCTTTGGTTGAAACACCCCTTAGGTACTTGGCTTTTGTGTGCTGTTATAAACGGTATTCTATTTTTCTTTTCCCAATTTCACTTTCTGATGGTCTGGCGGCAGCCTGTAGAGGAACAATGGAATTTCTGCACCGGGACCACGCGCCCCGAGTCCAGGCTGAGTGCCTTGACTTCTCCCCAGGGTTCCGCTGGCGGAGTCGCCGGATGCTCTGTGTGTCCATCTTCCGTGCTCCGTGTCCTCTTTCAGCCGCTTTACCGTTCTTCCTGGGTGGCCCTGGCCAGGGCCCCAGGGGCACACTGACCAGACCGCCGGCCTCGAGTCCCGGCTTGGGGGCAGCTGCTGCTGCCACCGCCGCCCCTCGTGGACAGAGGAGGTCCCTCTCTGCGCTGCGCGTGCTGAGGCCTCGCAGCGCGGACGGTGGTTGAGCTTCAGCGAGCGCTTTTTCTGAACAACAGTGACCGTGTTTTGCTTTTCGTTTTTGTTTTACCGTTGAACCAGGCTTGTGTTTCTGGGGTAAACCTCACTTATCCGTGGTGTGTTACAGTTCTATAGTTTTTATGTGTGGAGGTGCTAATTCGCTAACATTTTGTTTACGGGATTTTTTGCATTAACGTTTATTAGAGATACTGGTCTATAATTTCCTGTTTTTACTGACTTGAGAACGACAGTGAGACACACAAACTATGCGGTGACCAACAGTTACCAGCGAGGCGAGGCCCCCCATCAGTAGTGAGCTGCGAGCAGTCACCTTTGTGGGGAGTCAACAGTTACACTCGTATTTTCGAATGCACGGAGGTTGGCGCCCCTCACCCCCACGTTGTTCAGGGGTCACCTGTGCTTCCTAATTTTCCTTGTGTCTGCACGACCCATGGGTTACTCAGACGCGTGGTGCTTAACTTGCAATAACTTGGAGTGTTCCGGCCATGTTTTTGTTAGTGGTTTCTACTTGGATTCCGCTACACTCAGAGACCCTGTACGGTTCCACTCACTCGAAAGTTGCTGACTTGAGCCCTGGCTGGGGTGGGGGGGCATCGTTTGGATTGAGCGCTGGTTTGCAAACCAAAGGGTCGCTGGTTCGATTCCCGGTCCCGGCACATGCCCACTTTGCAGGCCAGATCCCCAGTAGGGGGCGCACGAGAGGCAACCACACATTGATGTTTCTCTCCCTCTCTTTCTCCCTCCCTTCCCCTGTCTCTAAAAAGTAAATATATAAAGTCCTCAAAAACAAAAGAAAGAGAAATTCCCTGGCGTGTTTCGGGCCCAGCCGCACGGTATTTTTCGGTTCGGCGATGCGGTGTCTGGCTGCCGGCGCGGGTGTGTCTGCCCACTTCCCTGTGTCCCCTGCCGGCGGACGCGGAGCCGAGTCCAGCCTGCGCTGCCACTCGTGGGTCTGCAGGGGGCAGCCTTGGCCCCGCACCGCACTTACCAGCCCCCCACAGCGGCCTCTCCCCCCCCAGAGGGCTCCCACGTCCCCACATCTCAGCCCACGGGGCTCGTTAGCACTGGTCCGCCGTCGAGGTAGAAAACTCAGCGGCGACTTGTTCCTGAAGTAACGGCCTCCGAGTTTCCACCTGCAAGCCTGTCGTTGGGTGAGATCGCGTGCCGTTCCCTGCGGTGACGCCACGTGACTGCGTTTCCCTGCAGGC